TAATAGCAAACCCTGTTGGTGGGTGTAGAGAAGAGAATACTTGTACACCTTAAATTGGGGTGTACCTGCACACCGAAACGACAGTGAGGGTGTAAGAAAGGAGTAGTGACACACCCCAGTATGGGGTGTATCTGTGCACTCCCGAATGCTGACGGTGTATGAAAGGGTGCACATATGCACCCCTAAGGAGGGTGTATATATGCACCTCGTTTTGAGGCGTACTTGTACACCTTTATGGGTGTAGTATATGTGGCAGCACTTACACCCCCTGTGGGTGTACCCACTACACCCCTTTTTTTTAGAGTGAACCTGCTTCCGGAACTACGACAGCAGGTTGCTGCTACTTATACCAATTAAAGGCACCCGTTTCATGCTCTAAATGTGTTAACTTACTAACGTCCCCCCCCCCCCCCCCCCCGTTGGAAGGGGTCCCACGTCACTCCCAGCGGTCCGCAAGGAAGGGGTCCCCGACACATCCATAGATGAGAACCACTGGTCTACGATATATCATAGCTCGGCAGAACACGAAGACATGCTACGGCCTCAGTGAGACTGTCAGCGCATGAGATCGAGTTACGTGACAAATTTACGTTAAAGCGATTTTGTACCGTGGAGAGTTGTCACATGTTTCGCTTCATCCCTCCGGATGGCTGAAGTGGCCGTCGCGCTTTCACACAGCCACAAGAGCAAATCACAAAAAGGCAGAAAGGCCTAACATCTTTTTCTTTTTTTCTTTTCTGGCTAAAAGTTCAAGAAATGGCGGTTTTCATTTTGTTTTAAACTTCGGTTTCGAGTGTTCCAGGAAACCGGAATACCTCGGCAGCTTAGGCGATTCACAAACAACTCAGCTGACGCAAGGAAAAAATGAAGGACGTTTACAACACCCAGTAACGCCGAATTAGAGCGCAGCTCTTGAGGAGGAGGAGGGAAGGGTACTGAGGGGATGGTATAACCCTCCTCCTCATCCTTCCTGCTACTCCTCCTCCCCTCCCCCTCTTTTTCCTCCTGCTCCTCCTCCCTTCCTCCCCTCATCGTTCAAGCTCCTCTCCTCCTCTCATCCTTCTCTCTCCTCCCCCTCCCTCATCTCTTCTTCCTCATCCCTCCTCCTCCGCTCTTACCCCTTCTCTTCCCCCTTCTCCCCCTCGTCTTCCCCTCCCATTCCCATCCCCCTGCCACTCCCCCTCCCCCCTGCTCCTCCACTCCCCCTCCTCCTCCCTTACCCCTCGTCCTCCTCCCTCCTCCTCCTCCCGCGAGGTGCATTATGAGAAATTCCCACAATGTACCGCGCGGGACCCTCGTGACGTCACTCATCACGTCACGTTTGACGTCACGAGGGTCCCGCGGGGTGCATTATGGGACATCTTCCATAATGCACCGCGCGGTTATGCCGACGCCGCTTAAGCCGGAAAAAGGCGCCAAGGAGCTACAGAGCTGTGCTCTGAAAAGGCGGCGGGCATGGTATGGCAGGATGGCGTCGGCGCGACTTATCGGCATCTCACAAATATTTACTGGATGTGAATGTTATTGGCACGACCTTCTCGATCTGACGGCAGTATCGGAGCTGGGACTCACATAAACGTTCACGGTATTATTCATACATTTTCTCTTTGTGTGTTCCGAAGTTTATGATGTACAGTCACGGTCAAACTACATGCAAACAGCGGATCGCATGGCTCCCCGAGCATGCAGAAGCTACTGGAGGAACTTCCTGATACTTCTCTTGTGTGACTATTATCGATGTTGCCGGCCGTGACATTATATTCACTCTTGATTACACGTTGCAAGATACTCGCCATCTAGATGGTAGGCACACCTTTAATTGCTCCTGTTTATAATGAAAGGGCTGCCAGTTATAGGGGAAAACAACAGGGTGATTTTATCTCAAATCGGGCAGGCTAAAAATGTCTAATTTATAATTTTCACGAAAAAATATATGTTTTGGGGGTATTTCTCAAATGAAGGAGGGCGCAAACCGCATGTTCTCCCGATTTTTTGTTCTCGAGTTACGAGCCGTAGAAGCCGCAGTGGCAGAAACTAGTGTTTTCGCCTGCCGTCGCAGGTCGCGTGTTTGACACCCTCTGCTGACGTTATTGTTTTCTCTACACCCTTTTAAATTTTCCCAATAATTTAATAGGTATTATAAGATGCCTTGATGTATTCAAATAGTTTTAGAAATTTGATTATTTTATAAAACACATGTCAAACTCGTCACTCCGGTCGATTTTTGGTCAAATTTGACAGGTCATTACTTTGTCTGTACTTAAGCTAAATTTTCTTTTTTTGGCTCTACAGAAAGCCCAAATCGAGCCCATTATAGATATAATAATATCATTATGATCTGTCGACTAGCCGCTCCGCTACCTTCACGTAAACGTTGTAAGAAATAACAAATGTTGAAAGTTTGAGGTCGATTTTCTCAAAAACCCCCATTTTTGTAAATTTTTATTTTTTAAATTCTTTTAGACATATTAGTCGACTACAAGAAAAAACAGTCTAGAAATGTAATATTTTGGTTGTATGTCCTCTGTTTGAGCCGCAATCGCGTGAAATGTGTGAACATTTGTTATTTTTCACAACGTTTACGTGAAGGTAGCGGAGCGGCTACTCTGCAGATAATAATGATATTATTACATCTATAATGGGCTTGTTTTTGGGCTTTCTGTAGAGCCAATTAATGAAAATTTACCTTAAGTACAGACAAAGTAATGACCTGTCAAATTTGACCGAAAAGCGACCGGAGTGACGAGTTTGACATGTTTTTTAGAAAACAATCAAATTCCTAAAACTATTTGAATACATCAAGGTATCTTTATAATACCTATTAAATGAGGGGGAAAAGTTAAAATGGTGTAGAGAAAACAATAGCGCCAGCAGAGGGTGTCAAACACGCGACCTGCGACGGCAGGCAAAAACATTAGTTTCTGCCACTGCGGCTTCTACGCTTCGTAACTCGAGAACAAAAAATTTGGAGAACTTGCGGTTTGCGCTGTCATTTATTTGAGAAATGCCCCTAAAAGATATATTTTTTTTTGTGAAAATTAAAAGCTGGACCCTTTCAGCCTGCCTGATATGGAAAATTTCATCTCAAATCAGGCAGAATAAAAAAGTATAAATTTTAATTTTTACGAAAAAAATATATGTTTTAGGGGAACTTTCCAAATGAATGACAGCGCAAACCGCAAGTTCCCCAAATTTTTTGTTCTCGAGTTACGAAGCGTAGAAGCCGCAGTGGCAGAAACTAGTGTTTTTGCCTGCCGTCGCAGGTCGCGTGTTTGACACCCTCTGCTGGCGCTATTGTTTTCTCTACACCCTTTTAACTTTTCCCCCTCATTTAATAGGTATTATAAAGATACCTTGATGTATTCAAATAGTTTTAGGAATTTGATTGTTTTCTAAAAAACATGTCAAACTCGTCACTCCGGTCGCTTTTCGGTCAAATTTGACAGGTCATCACTTTGTCTGTACTTAAGGTAAATTTTCTTTATTTGGCTCTACAGAAAGCCCAAAGCAAGCCCATTATAGATATAATAATATCATTATTATCTGCCGAGTAGCCGCTCCGCTACCTTCACGTAAACGTTGTGAAAAATAACAAATGTTCACACATTTCACGCGATTGCGGCTCAAACAGGGGACATACAACCAAAATATTACATTTCTAGACTGTTTTTTCTTGTAGTCGACTAATATGTCTAAAAGAACTTAAAAAAATAAAAATTTACAAAAATGGTTTTTTTGAGAAAATCGACCTCGAACTTTCAACTTTTGTTATTTCTTACAACGTTTACGTGAAGGTAGCGGAGCGGCTAGTCGACAGATCATAATAATATTATTATATCTATAATGGGCTTGCTTTGGGCTTTCTGTAGAGCCAAAGAGAGAAAATTTACCTTAAGTACAGACAAAGTAATGACCTGTTAAATTTAACCGTAAAGTGACCGGAGTGACGAGTTTGACCTGTGTTTCAGAAAACAATCAAATTCCTAAAAATATTTGAATACATCAAGGTATTTTTGTAATACCTATTAAATGATGGGGAAAAGTTAGAAGGGTGTAGAGAATACAATAACGTCAGCAGAGGGTGTCAAACACGCGACCTGTGACGGCAGGCAAAAACATTAGTTTCTGCAACTGCGGCTTCTACGGCTCGTAACTCGAGAACAAAAAATCGGGAGAACATGCGGTTTGCGCCCTCCTTCATTTGAGAAATACCCCCAAAACAATATATTTTTTTCGTGAAAATTAAAAATTAGACCCTTTTAGCCTGCCCGATTTGAGATGAAATCACCCAACAGCATTCGGAATTTAGCATTGTCATATATAGGGCGAAGTGATCTTACTGGTCGTTTTTTATTGCAACATATTCAGACATTGATAGATCACGAGGCACAGTGCAATTGGATTATTAAAGAATGATGCCCCCTGTAAGCGGAATAGGAACGATTTTAATCGGATGACTAAGCTGCACGTTACAACAAAATATGCAGCACGTGTGCTTGTGGCGCCAAAATATCCTATGAATAAGCTACATCATTCTCTAAGCCGAACACACAGGAGTACAACATGAAAGCAGCGCTGTTGGCTATGAATCATAAAAGAATATGTTTGCGAATAATTAAAAAAGCAAAAAAACTTAACCGCGCTTTTTTTTTTTTTTAAATTATTGGCATCATCGGAAGCTATGAAGCAGCTGAGTTGTCATTTGGTCGCCGGTCCGTGTTTCGTTTTTCTTAAGACCATGACTGTAAAAATGCGTGTATTTCAGTTTGTTCAGTGTAAGCAGTGATTCCTAAAATTAGATATTGAGGGATTGCCCAAGTTGTTTTAGGCATGTATTTTGTCGTAATTGTTTACACTGGTATCTTAATGTTATTTGCCTGTACTGCCCATACTCCTAACCCTACAAAATCTCCACTAGAACAGAATAAAAAAAAATAATGTTGACATCCCGAGCGACGATAAAAACTGTTTTTAACAGTGTCGCATCTCCTTTCCTTTAGGTAGATCAACTAGCTGCAAGCCTGGTGTCGCTCAAACTTCCGGTGGGCTCCAGGGTCGCCATACTCGCTCCGAGACTTTACGAAGGGGCACAGCTCCTTTATGCGGCCTCCAAGGCGGGACTTGTTATGGTAAAAGCGAATCAGTTACTTGGCCGCACATGCTTAGCGCACAGACTGCGTGCGGAGCATTATATAGATCCTGGCTCACATCTGTTCTGTTCTACAGGTTGGCATCCACACATTCTGCACGCTTTCTGAACTTGAATTTTGCTTGAATAAGGTAAGTCATCTGCAGATGGAAGACGATTTTGTATACTTATTACATTTATTTACAATATTTCATATCCCATTTCGTTTTTAAAGGCTGGTACAACATGAACAAAGTGCGTGTAGTCTTGACTACACGCACTTGATAAATGTTATGGGCTAGTCGATGTCGACAGGTGCACTTCTATGTTGATACCAAATAGATTTAGGGTAGTGGAATATGCGGTGTTTCGCGACAATAGATTCAATTCGTTAATGGGGCGGGGGAAGAAAGATAATTTAAAGGAAACTATTTTGGGATGGGAGCTCTTGAACACATTTACCGAGGTAATACCTTGGTAATCATTGACAATACTTCGTTTCACCTTCACCTTAAGTCCAGATGTAGCTCACGCTACAAGCTGATGGGAATAATCCGACAGCCTCAAAAGTTCATCATTATGGTGTTCGTCATGTTTCTGAGCGTTTTATATTATCGATAAACCAATCAGAAACAGTTAAGGCCTAGTGAGTTGCTCTCTTTACACGCTTGATTGATCTCATTGCCTTGTAGCTTCGACTGCACGTGATCTTGAGCTGAAACGAAGTATTGCAAGTATGAAGTAAGTTTCCTGGGGAATGCTGAAGTGTTGGGCAAACTCATATCAAACTTGAGCCTTGCTGTTTCTGTCCTTTCTGCAGAGACAAAAGTTCCGACTGTCTGCAGAGTTGAGCGGGGTAGTCATGCCTTTTATATTTGTAACACAAACACCTAGATGCATTTTTTTTTATTATTTCGAACCTTTTAATACCTGATACAGTATGGGAAAACCATGCGACTTTAACTTATTCGAAGATATGACGGGTGTTATTATTATCGGTGTTTACATTTATAATCTTATTGGATTATAGTTAATTTTACTTGAATCATACTTGAGGATACTTTTATTTCATGGAGTTTATTCAATCTTATAGAAAATATAATTTGATGTGCAGGGCGCAGTGAAGGTTATTACTTATATGGAAGCCAATATATTTATACATTTTCATTGTATTAAGTGGGATCATATTTACTTGGTAAGATAATGATTGGGGTTTTTATTCGTTAGCTATAGTCATGAGAAATTTGATTTATCTTACATACCATCCGTCAATCATTACACTGATTCCCGACTCAATGTCGTGCATTACTGAAAAGGATTTGAACTTCTTGAATAATCATTTACAAATAAAATAGGAAATAGTACGCTAAGAGGTAAATTTTACGTACACTTTTTGGACTACGTCATTCATGTCCATAAAAACCAAGTAGGTGGCAGTACTGATCTCTGTGGGACGTCAAATGAAAAATTGCCCATGATGAATGATCAAAATCAGAATCAAAATCAGTTTATTTCGTTAGCGCTTTAACACACATTCGACAAGTGGGCCTGGAAAAAAAATCGGAAAGTTTGCAGCTTCACGGGTTCCTACCCTCTTAAACACAGGGCAAAGCGGCACTGATACGAAAACACAAAAGAAAAACATAATAAAAATGTTTTATTTACCATGTCACAGGAAATAGGTTGAATTTCAACACAACGACATAAATACATATAACAAAAATAAAACAAGCATTTTCGCGAATGACGTACAGTTATGATAATACAATGTTTTCAAGTTTGCCGAGGTTTAAAAAAATTCTTATAAGTTATCTTGTGGCACGTTGACACGTGGCAGTTAATGTATGAGAGTACATGTTAGATATGTCAAGTATCTTATGTTTTATAATTAAGCGAACGGAACTACGATCGCGTGGAACAGTTTCTGTTATCATTATAGTTTTTGTTTGCATTAACCTCAACCTGTCGAAGTTACTTTTTGCTGTTGTACCCAGACCAGGAGGCATTAACAACGAATTGAATGAAAAAGGGATTGATATATTATTTTTTGATAGTAGCAAAAAATACTTGCCTATATTTGTTCATTATTTCAACTTCTCTACATTTTTTTATGTATGTAAGAAACATGTAGATTCCACAGCATGTGTTCGGAGAACACAACACCGACGGCCTTGACGCTGTCTACATATTCTCCGACATTTGTACCAAAATACAAATCATTGGGCAATGCGATCCGTGATCCTGGTCATTTAAATATAACTACTTACGTTTTGAACGTGTGTATAGCTCGACACTTAATGGCAACACAGCCATCTACCTTGCTGAAAAAACGTTTTTTTTGGAAGCGAGTATGCTTTCACTACAGTCAGAAACAATCCATCTGCTGTTATCTTCCGCGTACATACTCACTTCGGATGAATTTCAATGCGTGCAATATTGTTGACGTGAATAATCAACAACAGGGGAACTAATATGATTTCCTAAGGATTCCCAGAGTAAATACGCTGCATGGTTGATGAGGATTTTCCAACCTGAATGTTCTGTTGGCGATGTTGTAGATGGGGCGGAAGAATTGATAATGGAATAAAGTCTTCCATAGAATCTTAACTGGTGAAGATGTGTCGTGTGGTTTATTCGATCGAACGCTTTGTTCAAATAAATGATTGTCCTCAAGGTTAAAATTTTATTATTCAAAAGGTCTAATATGATCTGTTTCTGAACTAGTAAAACTGTCCTGTGGGTTTGTGTCTCCCAGAACCGAAATGCCATTCCGTAAACTAGGAGTATTCTTTCAGAACATTAAAAAGTCGAGAACGCATGATTTTCAGGGGGCATAGAAAAAAGGAAGGATAGAAATCGGATAATTGTTACTCCCATCATTACTATCCCCGCCTGTTTAAATAACTGAAATTTTTTCAATTTTAGGAAATATCGGGGAATAGACTGGAGACGATAATATAACGTTATACGGATGACTTAGGCATGGAAGCATTAAATGCAAGACAAATTTCACACGTTCGATTTAGAGATCCTCACAGTCATGACTACGGCTATTTTTCATGTTCATAAATGAAGAGAATACTCCGACTATATAAGATTGAAAAACATATTTTCATTGGAGGTGGTAAAATAGTCCAATGGCTGTACTGTAATAAGTACTGTTCCTCATACTTACAAAAAAGTAATTGAATTAAATGAGAAGTTCGTCACGAGATACGTAACTAATATTGACGGTTATGCTTTTCATTGCGTACTAAAATGGGTTCCGCCTTAGGGAGTTCAAACGCTTTGGAGATGCATAAAACAAGATGCATCAAATATGGCAGCAAAACAACGTTGTTTCGTTCGTCGTGACTACGCATTTACAAAATTTATAATTTTTCTTAATTCACGATTTTTTTTCGCTTTTTAATAAAAGAAATATAAAGAAACGTTTCGAATTTAAAAAAAAAATACACACAAAGAAAGTTATTTTTTTTATTCTGTTTCAAAAGTTTCCTAGAGATTCAATGCTTTTGAGACTTTTTGTTTGCATTAATGGTTCGGTATCGAAACGCTGAGCAGTAGGCACCTTTCAGCTCGTTGAAGAAAAGGTCATAGCACTCGTTATCATCGGTAGACTGTAGCCCGTGACTCCAATGAATAAAAGTAGTATTTTATTTCAAAGTTACCAGTGTTTAAAAACTTACGCCTCGTAATATTAAAAGAGAGTTTACGGCTTCTTTAAGTGATATATTTTGATGAACAAACATGAATATGGGAAGGTGATCACTTAGCCCAACACTTAGAGCACCCGCAGTGACATTGCACTCGTCATCGTTTGTCACAAAAATAAATAAATGTTGGTGGTGACCTTGTTACTCGTGTCGGGCGTATAATCGCATTACAAAAACTGTTAGACGTCAGCACAGCTATCATTTGATCTTAGAGTCAAGAATAGTCTAACATGTTTATACTCCAATCGCCACCTAAAAACGTCACTGACAAATGAAAAAAAATAAAAAAATATAAGAAGCATCTTAGGGTTGCAACATTTCCAGTAGGTTGGCGATACAAAACTGACTAGATATCACGATTTATATTTAAAAAAAGTGCCTCGTCATAATAAAATAATGGCTAACCAACTCAAAGCCGAAACACTTCAACAATGCGATGTACTGGGCTAGTTGGTTTGAAGTGAATATCGGGGGCAGGAATAGCCCGTAAAAAAACATGGACACGAGTAAAGAAGCGCACACGATAGGACGGTGCTGAACGTTATTTATCACTTAAAAAAGGAAGGAAGAAGACAAGGAGCATCTTAATCAGAAAATCTAGACACCACACACGCGCCCACCAAGTAGCGTATACTTTGTCAAGGTAGGTCATATCACTGCATGTTACATAATGCGCTTCATAGTTTCTCGAAGGTACCCGAATTCTTTTTCAAATTAAGCCTCTTACGCTTCGCTGACGCATCTCCCACCAAGCTCAGTGATAATAAAGCCTTAATGATTTGTTTTCTCACTCCGCTTGTATGTCTACCCAAAACAGTGACTTCACTAAAAGTAGGTTCGACCTTGCAGTCCCTGGAGTGTAAAAGCAGCAACCCCCCCACAGTGTTCCTGAGAGAATACAAATGATCTCCAAGTCTCGCATTTAAACACCGGCCCGTCTGTCCAAGCGAGACAATGCCACGCGACAAGGGGATCTTATAAACCACGCCAGACACACAAGTCTAAAACGGTATTACGTGCTCATTGGTGCACTCCCTTCTCGATCGCTTTTCGGCGGTAGCACCGAATTTTGCAGATATCCGACCCACTTGTTGTGGGGCAAAAACACCACCGGCACACCATAGCAACCATCATTCTTCTTTTGTCGAACCCAGTCTTTATCCTGTCCATTCCCTTAGGTTTTTCACAGGGGAGCTAGCCACCTCAGCCAAAAAGGACAGATGGAAAACCTAACAACTTCAGTCTTTTAACCTACCCGTTAAAACTGTTTTTTTATCAAGTGGCCACACGTACTTTTTTAAGGCGAACCCAAGAAAAGAGACCGCAATGCTCCTTTTGACCAATTTTGAGTGACATGACCTACAGACCGGAATGATCTTGTTTGTGCGGGAACTAAACGACCAACAAACACGTTTTCTTCAAAGCACAACGAAAGT